AGGAAGATTTATTGAGTGTTCACGCGATTTTATCCGCCATATCCTGTTTGAGTGCCGCCATAGAGCCTCCACTCCAATCCGACACCTTATGTTGTCTCGGAATTGTTCTGGCCGCTCGTGCTGCACTCCTGTGATGGGTTTCCGCCGCTGTAGTTCACGGTGCCCTGAGATTGACTGGAACGAAATGAATGTTCCATCCCGCTAATTCCGGATCCCTTGCCACTGAATCCCTGGCAATCGCATCATCGGCTACCACCACTGCGATTCCGCCTTCTCTCCTCTGAGCTCTTCTGATCACTGCCACAATACTTCAGGAAGTCTGAACTGGTACGGTGATCCTCACCACGCTATACGTCATACACAGACAGATAGAGAAGACCCGATCCCAACGTAATGGCATCCATCGACACAGCATAAAATGATCCCTTACCTGCTCTCAGTAGATTCTCTAGTGAAAGATCCGAGATACCCGCCCCTGAGAGCTCCGGCGATATTCTCCACTCTTGCTTGGCATTCTTGAGCCGACAAGTAACACACACCGCAAGCTCATCATTCGCGTTAAGTCGCTTCAATGACGGTGCGAAGAAACCAAACTCTATCGCTCTTTCTACACTGGCATTCCGGTTTGCATGCTGCAGCTTCCTGTGAGCAATATGAATGAGTAATCGCCTGGAAGTTTCAGGCTGAAAGGGTTTCAGGTTGAGAGCCGTGCTCATCCTGGGTACATAAAACCCCCAACTACGCTTAGCCCCATCTACGCCATTGAACAGATAGTACGCTATGCTATCATCATCAATCCTCATGCATACCAATGATCGGAGTGCCTTGGCGGCCATTCCATCTACCCATCCCAGCTGCAACGATCGCGAAAAAGATATCTTGTCTTCTTCCTGATATGCTGCTGGGTACTGCACATCAAAAAGTAGATACCCCGCAGCCGCTCTTCTCCACAAGGTGAAGGAGAAACGTAGGGCTTTCCATACTTGAGGAGCCGCATCGACATCATACGATACCAACGCCAACTTATCCGCAAGACTAGGGCATTTCCCTCCTCTCCGATTGTGCGATCATGTTTCCTCCGGAGCATAACACAATCAGTCGGCTGAGCTGGGTAGTTCTCCTAGTCTGCCCACGAAATCATCCACCGCCTGCGCCACGCTGAGAGGTTCTAGATACTCAGCCACATAACGGATACCATATCAAGAGGAATAGGTGATGCTCGTAACCGTAACGGTTAAACCGTTTCAAAGATACTCGGACAAGCGCCCATTCTGACCGCTCTCAACCGTGCCAGTTTCTTAAGCAATTTATAACAATCACCGTATTACGCCACGCTACTTATTTATCCTCGAGCCAACAATTTCGGCAGTAGATCCGAATTATAGAATTTTAGGAGCGAAAGGGACGACAGACCCAGGAGCGGGACGCACACACTTCTGTTAACCGAATGATAGAAGAGCGAGGCGAGATTGCATACCAACTACTAAGGTGGCGGAGTGGGTTAAGCTGGCGGATGAGAGCCGCACAGCTATCACCTAGGCGGCCGAAGTATACCTCACCTTGTGGCTTGAAGGAGAGACAATCACTGCTGGACCTCACATGGTCCCAGTGTTGTATTCAAAGCAGGTAGAGGATAAGGTCGGTCTGCTAATAGGCAGGGATATTGGCAGCAGAGTGGGATTGCAGTTGGACCTAGCAACGGGAACGGTGTCTCGATCGAAAAGAACTATCAGCATGGATAGAAGAAAAGTGGTGAATGATTGTGCAGCAGATGCCATTGATGTGGTGAGGTACGTGCGGGACAATGTGATAAGATATCTTGATACTCCGGGAGAAGGACAAGTAGGAACTCAACCATTACCTCAAGGAGAGAGTAAGATTATTTTTCCAGTGCTTCCACCACAGGAACGGGAAGTCGCCAGAGTTGCTGTGTCGACGCTTGTGGGAAAAAGGGACCTGGAGGTTGAGGGCCTCCGAGAATATAGTGTCTTTCAGGAAGTTGAGAGGAGACAGCCGAGCAGACTGCGAAGGGCAGGAAGCGGTGGTGTATATAGATCTCCCGAAGAGAGACGGTAAGGCGATGAAGGAACTCCGTGTACCCAGATATGAGAGGGCTGCGTACGATAAGCTCTCGAAGACTCATCAACGGGTGTACCAGGATTTGCTTCAAGAGTTTGTAGCGAGGGTGGTGGATAAGGAGATCGGAGCTGAAAAGCGAAGAGCGCTCTCAAGAGAGAAAATGCTTGCCAGCATCTCTCATCTATCTCCCACAGCAAGAAAAGAAAACACGACTTGTCTTGAATCGTACAGCAGTCAATGAGAGTTTGGGAGGAGTCTCATCGTTACGGCAGGCAACGTCGGATATACTCATTGTGGTGCGACTCAACGGTGCGGATATGATTGTTGCACATCTCCAAAAGGCTTATTATAGATGCAGGCTCTTAGCGCACTGGGTGTTGCTTGCTATCGTGATAGAGGAGTTTGTGTCGGATAGAGTGGCCTTCGGGCTGCATTTCGGAGCTGGTTGTCCCCAGGGGGCAGTGAGGGAGATAGTTGCAAGATGATACTCGTTGTGGTGGCTGTGCAAGAGTCGAAAAACCGGATATGCTAGGAACGCGTGGAGGGGTGTATAGCGGGCCGAAGGCTCGCGATTTCCCAAGTTCCAACCAGCTTATTTAATATGACATACGTTGGGCCCGATGGGCCAACATTCAGTCTGCTAAGCTGTCAGAAAAGTTGAAAAGGAATCCTAAGACCTATGGTCAGTGTTGTAAGCAGCTTGATATGCTGGTGCAGCGGGGCTACTCTCGAGAAGCTTCGGAAAAGATAAATCACGCATACGGTCTCGTCGTCGTACGAAAAGCCACATTTTCAACAACTCCTTTACGATTAGTTCTGGACGGCTTCATCTTGCGGGGCTATGTGTATCTCGGTGTTATATATGATCGATCGGTGGTGTCACCATTGTTAATTATCCGTCGCTATGCGTACTTCACGAATCGTGAATCACGATAGCTGACTTGGAGAGGGTCTTACTCCATGGCTATTGTCAGCTCTAATTGTGGAGTGGGGGGGCAGGTGGTATATGTTACTTTGGCCCGCCATGAGCCTTCCTGCTTCTCCGTCTACGTTGCAGATCTCCATCTAAGAGTTCGACAGTGAAGTTGTGCCTGAGCTCGATATCGGCCCCCACTGTGGCCGATCGTTCATGGATGACATAGCTCAGGGTGCAGAGACCAGCTGGCATAGGGATATGTTGGCAGATGGAGTTCATCGAGTGGTTGGCAGAAAAAGCTTCTCCGAGCAGCTCGGACCGAGCTGGAATCAAAGCGCTTGTAGAACAGAGTTAAGGGTACCGACTCCTCAGAGGACAAAACTGCCACCCTCTTTGGTGTTCAGTGGGATCCGAAAGAAGATTGTCTAGTAATCGTCCCTGCTCCTTCCTTGGAGGGCAAGGCCTCGGGGAGATGCACGCTCTATAACGTTGCGATCCTATATATCATGGCTAAATTCTCACTTCGACCCCTCGGGTCTATACCTAGAGGATGCCAGGGCTGGTAGATTGTTGATGCGTGCTGGGAAGACCATGGCCATCCTCGGCGACTTTGGCTATCAACGCCTTGCCCTTGACCTCGTCGTTATATTCCACAACTGCTCCAACCACCTTTCCGGCTTTCTGCCCCTGGCCTTTCTCGCTACTACGCACAGGTTTCCAGTCATCTGGTTGGAAAGTCTTCTTTATCTCCTGCTCGTTGAACTCTTTGACTGTGACAACAAACGAGGCTTTAAAACCTTTCGCTCATCACTCAAGTGACTGCTTTGGGGGATGTGGAGAAGGTGTACTACCCGATCTTTGTGATGCCGCCATCCCAACCTCCTGCTGACTCGTCGGCTGAGCTATTAGAGCCACCTTGTCCGTCTCTCTCCTGGTGGTGTCCTCAGAGGTTCTGCTGACATCTCGGATGATGTCCACAACTGTGATACCGCTCATACTCACATCTCTTACCTTCAGAGAGAAGGATAAAAGTGTCTCCTAATCCTCCTCACTGACGTCTCTGTAAGAGCCACGCTATGAACTCGCCTCTTCACCTTCAAGATCACTTTCCCCTCATGGCAAGGTACTTACTATCGCTCTGACCACCCTGAACGTCTCACTTTTATCCTTATACGCCTCATAACACCGAAGGACAATCGTCTCAGCCGAGCCCAAGAACCGATCTACTTTACCGGGACCCCCATAGCTGAGCTTTCCTAGTGACTCTCGGATGTTCCCAATTATCGCCGTTCTCTTACAGAGTCGACAATGTAGCTGATCCTCGATTATCTCCAAACAATACTTGGGTATCTAGTAGAGGCCTTGATTAAATTAAACTGCCAAACTTTCAAATAAACCGGACATAATATTAATTTTCTTGGTATTTTATTAAAGCCATGGGAAAAACGTTAATTAAAAAAGTAAAACATTAATCAAATGGGTAGAAAATTAAATTTGTCGGTAAAAAATTAATTTGAGCTAGAAATGCTGTAGTGTCGACAGCTCCTCAGTGGTCTCCTGGTCCTCTAGTACGATGATGCATTCCATCGGCGCTTGGACCTTCTGAATTTTGCCCCTCAATCTGCCTCGTAGGACTCTCCTTTTCGAAGCTCCTTCTTGTAGGATTCTTCATCCTTTACGAGTGCTCCCATGGTACTACTAGCCGCTTCGGATTTACTATAGCCGTCGTCCATCTTGAGTGTCGCACCGCCACCAGCTGTCATCATGTTACGGTCGGCTAGTGACCATGACTCGGTAAGTCTGGACGGTTCCTCAACGCGACTAATACTCATGTGAAAATGGAGAGTAAAAGTACAGGCTTGAGCCAGATGGCTACGGAGCTATCTCACATGCTTATAGTATCAATTTAATTAGCGACAATGATAACTCAAACACCTAGTCTAGTAGATCATTAAGCCTCTGTCTTCCGGTTGCCCTACTCCCCCGGGAGTGTTGAAGAGACAGCTACCACTGTATGAGGTGAGAGATGGTATCGTGTTACAAACAGTACGGCACTCTGCCGAAGGCGACATCATCAAACAAGCGTTGCTAGGCCCATCAAATGGTAGCATACTTATTAAAAAGTAATCGACAATGTGCATCTTCGCAGTGGTCATCCGGGCCGTGATAAGCTGTCGCAGGTGTTATTAGATGAGTATTATTGGCGTGCTTCGCGCCGGTCGGTGGGTTCTCATATTCCGTATTTCCGAGCTTGAGGGTTATCAGCATCTATAAGGACCGGAGGAAGGGGCGGCCGTGATATATCGAGTCTGCAGCATGTGAATGCTTTGACTCCTTTTTTCACAGTCGTACTTGCCAGGACGCTACAGTTCAAGTGCAAGATTGGCTGCAATGTGACAAGTGTCGGTCCTGGTTGTGAGTCGATCTAGACATTGCCCGTCGATATGCAACTTCGTCAACCAAATCTTATTGTTGGGCCGGAAGTGTCGCAGGCCCGCGAAAGATGATTGAGAAGTGCTCAAGATAACAAGGAGCCTGGCGTGATCGATATTCACGTGAGTATGTAGCCTTTTCCCTAGGAAGCCGTCTAATTTTCTCTGGATATCTCACATTCCATTGTGATTATCCAATACTACGTTTGTCGTGCAATAAAGGACTCTACGTCTTACAGTACCTCTTGCACAGCGCGATCGATCAGGACGATTTAGACTTGAAGCGTCACAGAAATTTGCTCCGGGTTATTAATTCAGAATCGTTTCCGTCTCTGTTTTCGGTTCCTTCCAGAGTGTGTCACACTGTCAACACCTCTACATATATCATGTTCGCCGTGTACTTGGTACCTTTAAGAACTGTCTTTTCCGTATCTGTAGCCGTATTTGTAAGATCGACCGTATTAGATATGGGCCGATGTTCATTGTGTTAAAACGTTACAGGAAATTATTCACAGCAAGAAAAGTGCCTCGTCTATATCTGATCAGCTTCACACCCTTAATACCTACTAGGCACTCATTAATCTTCTGCCATACGATAGCTTTGTGTCATACGCGTTTTTTTCACTGGCACGTTCAGTTTTCATAGAGATTTCTACCACCGTGAACATGCGCCGATGTACACTGTGCCAAAAATTCGCGACATTTACTGTGGTGTAAAGTATAATTCCTATATTTTATGTTGCATCACTGTCTCTCTCTCTCTCAAAACTCCACCCCCTCTCTCCCATTGCCAGCAGATGTGTTGGTAGGATTTACTTAGGTCAAGGATTGATCGTTTCTAACCATGCAACTCACTGAAAATTCCATACGAAGTTTTTCGCGCCTGCAATACTCTATGCTTCGTCGTCATACTGCTGGAGCACTTACCGGAGTTAATCCATTAACAGACGTAAAATGCGTCTCAGTGGAGCCCCACAATACGGGGAGTGCGAAGCACTCCTCTGACACAACTATCCTGTCCCCCTGGTCTGTGTGACGCTATGAACAAGGCTGAATCATCAAGCTAGAATCTAAGATGTAAAGTCTTTCTGTCTTTGTCCACTACACCTTATTAATGTATTGGTGTAGGCACGGTTTGTTTCCACCAATTTTTTTTTCCTATGGCTAATCAGCAGGAGACTGTTACCAAGAATCTACTAGATCCTTTACTAGATGGTGAGAACATTGACCAGGCGATCAAAGATCTCATGGTTACCCAGCTGATCGAGGAAAAGATATATTCTATTATGTTGCTGGCCAATGTCGGTGAAGAAACTGTTACACGTATGACTGGTCGCATCCCAGCTGAACAACAACAATTCTTCAAACTACATCTGGTCTCACTGGTTGAGGAGGCCAAGGCCTGGCGTACAGCCAAACGTCGCAGGCAGGAGCAAGAGAAAGAGGCTAATGATCTAGCGTCCTACCGGGACAACCTTCGCCACAGATTTGGCAAGAAGGTCGAGCTTCCCACTAACATTATGCCTCCTACAAGTTTGATCGCTAAGGTCGGGAAGGCTCCTTACGACTACATTCCAGTTCAAGAATTTCTCGGCACATCATCTTCCTCTCCCAACAATACCAAAGTGAAACATCTTGAAGATATCAATACCGGTAAGATGGCAGCGGTCAGGATTGGGAAGGTCAAGAAGATCAACACGTTGGCACAGTGGGTTGAGGGCTTCGCCAAGTGGTGCATGGCATTGCTCATGGTGGAACCTGACAATCAGGTGGTGAATCCTCTCGGTATGCTTTCTTATTTGGTTCGAGTAGTCTCCCTGGCTGAGGAGAAGTCCCCGCTTCTGCTATTCTCTTCGATCATTCCTACCGGTCGAAACTGACAGCCTTTCATGAAGCAGGGCACAGCATATCTCAAGTTCTGACTAATGTCCTTGCGCCCTCCTTATATGTTGGTGCGCAGCTGGGAACTTTGGAAGACAAAGATCACATTTATGGGAAGGATGTAGGAAGCCATACTGATGAGGTGTGCATCTTCTACGAGCGAGGTAATTGTCGGCGAGGAAATCGGTGCCCCTTCCGTCATCCTAGCCGCCCAAGATCCTTCTTTGATGTGGATGATTCGGGAAAGTCCCGCTCGGGCTATCCTTCCCCAAAGAGGCAACGAAGGAGATCTCCGGTTCGCCAGGAGAGAGGTCCCAAGAGTGGCGTCAACTCATCCAATCACTCAAAAAACTAGCTGGTGGCCGTCCTCTCGATCGAACGGCCCTTCTCTCCATCGATCGATCTTCCATTGAGGTACAGCCCTCTCGAATCTGTGAGTCGAGAGCTCTGTCTGTTCCTTCAATTCCTGAGAACTCTCTCACAAGACTAACTTCCCTTTGCTCTGGGATCGTTGAGTTCGTCAATGCAGCACGAAGTGCTACTGAACGTCTGGCGAATCAGCGACGTAATGATTTCACATGTGGGTCGGGTTTACATGGACCTACCCCTTGGGAAGTTCCCTCTGAATCCACCAGGGTGGAAAGACAGAGAATTCTCGACACCCTGCAGCGCGTGATCAGCCGCAGCGATTTCACGTGTTTCCTGAGCAAAGTCATTAAAGAAGGCTCTCCGGCAAATCTCGAAGCCGAATTTAATGAAAGGCTGAACAAATTGGCAGCAGATGCAAGACACTCCTTATCATCTGACCTCGCCTGTTCAGATTCTGCCCCCTTTCCAGGTTCCCCTATCCGTGCTCACCTGCTTGGTGCCCTCCTCCGAGCTTGTGGTTACTCGAATGAGGGGGATACCCTTGAACACGAGATTGCAGAAGGGTTTGCATTAGGTCACCACGTTCCCGTTCCCCCCTCGGCGCTGTGGCCAAAGGCCAAAAAGCACACTCCGATTGATTGTCGTCGTGTCTTTGAAAATTACAAATCGGCCAAAGCGCATCCTGAGAAGCTCTCAACGATCCTCAACAATGAGGTAGCAATGGGTCGAATGGAGATCCTTGAGCCAACTGTGGCGGCAACCGCTGTGATTACCCCAGTAGCTCTTATTCCCAAGGGGGACTGTCCAAAGGACACATCACTGCAAAAACCAGAACATTACAGGCTCATCGAGGACTACCGCCGGTCTCACCGCAACGAGCATGCACATTTAGACCAAACACTTCAACTTCCTTGCCTCCAGGATCTTCTCACCTTGTTAGGCCACTGCATTGAGAAAGATCATGCTGTGGACGTAGTATTCGCTGTTGTTGATATAAAAAGTGCGTTCCGCCTACTTGGCGTGCGTCAGCAGGAAGCCTGCGAACTCAATGTCAGGGCGTCTGGTGTCACTTACAGACACCGTTGCCTCCCGTTTGGCCATCGGAGCAGCCCTTACAATTTCTCCCGCACCGCTGGAGCGGTTCATAGAATGTTATTGTTGGTCTCGGCACTGCTGCTCTGGTTTATGTTCGGGCTACTCTATGTTGATGACATGTTTTATGCCATAGTACAACAACATGGGTTGGAAGGACTAACTCTGGTTCTTGTCTTTTGGGCTTGTCTAGGTTTTGGTTTTTCCTATCGGAAACTCCAACTAGGGAACAGGGCTAAATTTGTGGGCTACGAGGTGGAGATTGTTGACGGTCGAATCAACATCTGTGTACCACAAGAGAAGCTCAAGATCATCACTGACAACCTCAGGCATATTCTAGCAGCAACATCCGTGAGCAAGAAGGAGCTTGCAAGTCTGGCAGGGAAGCTATCTTGGGCCTTCTACTGCTTTAGACTCCTCCGGCCGTATCTCGCCACAATGTTCGGCGCTATATCTCTCATGGAGCGCAAACAGTTGAAGCGCATGAGAACTCCGAATGGCCTCCGTCAAGACCTGGACTTCCTTTTAAGGTTCTTTCTCGACCTAGGTCCACAATCCTTATCGTACCCGGTACTCCCTTCTCAAGTCGACATCGACTCAGCTATCCTGATAGGTTCGGATGCATCAACAACTGGTCTGGCTGGCTTCATGCGGAAGGGTGGAGTCTGGCACTACTGGTCTTTAAACCTGGACGACCTACGCCAGGATGTCAGAATGGCCCTTCTCGAAGCAGCCCCCCACGTTAGTCACAAGGACATGTGCTATCTGGAATTACTTGCGTCACTCATGACCTTGTCCTTACTACGTCACTGCCAGCTGACAACTCGAGTTATCGTCCAATGCGATAATCAAGGAGCGGTAGCAATTCTCCGAAAAGGATATAGCCCCAAGAGGAGAGCCCAATGGCTCCTACGGCACGCCGCGAGTTTCCTATTTAAACTGTCACCATTAATATCCTTCCACTATATAAGCTCTCAAACTAACTCACTGGCAGACAATCTGTCCCGGGGTGCCAACGTGTCCTTACCTCCCAATTGGATGGCCTGCCCCCCTCCCCTCGAGTGGATCTGTTCTGATCTCAATTGACAAACACTGTTTGTTCATCAGGTAATCGCAAATCCTTCTCTACCACCCAACGCCAAGTGTTGGAACAGAAGAATCTGAACGATGCCGAACTCTCGAAATTTCTGAACTCAGCGTTGGCTCCAAGAACCCGACAATCATATGACTCGGTTATCCGCCTGTACACCGAATTCTGTCTGCCCTACCAGTCCTTCCCCTTACAAGTACCGCATCTTCTGGACTTTGTTCACGCTTTATCAATGACCGGTTCTCACAAGGGGAGTACAATCGACAACTATGTCCGAATCCTGAGGGCCACAAATCTTCGCCGTGGTTCTGAACTAAGTGCACCGGACCTGTTCGCCATCAAAGATGCAGTCAAAGCTGCCAAGAAGCGAGCAGGAGGAACCGAGCCCGCTCAGAAACGAGCATTCACTAAAAGTGAGATCATCGGCATAGGACAAGCTGAGACGATTCCCGGTCTCATCGGGAATCTGCAGGAACTACAGGCGGCAACTTTGACTGCAATATTTGGTCTCCTGCGGTGCAGAGAAGTTCTGACATTGAGACGCAAAGACGTCACCTTTCACAAAAGCCATGTTTCTATCACGATTCGGGGATCCAAGACTGACCAGTATAAAACCGGTCACACCGTCGTCATCGGATGTTTGGCAAAAACTCGGCCGGAAACATGCATGGAGAGATCTTGCCCCTTCCAAAGACTCAAGGCTTGGTTCGTGACCTGCTCCGGCGACGCCGATACCCTGCTCTTTCCGGGCCTGACTTATGAAGCTTGGAGGTTGGATCTGAAGTGTATGATCTCTTATCTGGCATCGGCCGCAGTCACAGGCGTTGGCACGACATCTGTAGCCCCTCATTCGCTTCGGCGCACAGGGGCGCAACTGCTTTGGAAAGCAGGCTTCTCGCTCCTACACTTGCGAGAATATGGGAGGTGGCGCTCCAACGCCTATCTAGAGTACCTCAAGGGCGTCACGCTCTCAGAAGCTCCTTCCTATGCGGCAGCTATGATGGCCCAATTGCCCGAAAGTCCCTTGTGCTCTATCTCTGATGGTCACACATCTGCTGCACTGGCAAACGCCAGCTCGGATTCGGAGGACGGTTCAACTGGAGAGGCCCAGCGCCCTCGTACTTTGCTAAAGCGCCCGAGGTCTTCGCACCAGGCTCCAACGAACGAGGAAACGGAGGACCGCAAGGGGAGGCTGGTAGCGGCTAGCCCAAAGAGGCGTTGTAGTCGAGCTACCAAAGCCACCAGCTCGTTGCCTTCAGATGCTAATGCACTGCCAGGCGCGGTCTCACCCAACTCCCTCGTAGAAGGACACCACTCAACTGAGTGACTGAAAACTCTGCACTGTTCTAAACTGAGTAGCTGTTGTGTTTACTATGCCAGGCGAAACGGTGCGAGAATTTTACCGGAGTTAATCCATTAACAGACGTAAAATGCGTCTCAGTGGAGCCCCACAATACGGGGAGTGCGAAGCACTCCTCTGACACAACTATCCTGTCCCCCTGGTCTGTGTGACGCTATGAACAAGGCTGAATCATCAAGCTAGAATCTAAGATGTAAAGTCTTTCTGTCTTTGTCCACTACACTTTATTAATGTATTGGTGTAGGCACGGTTTGTTTCCACCAATTTTTTTTTAACCTTCCTACGGGGGAGGCTGGTAGCGGCTAGCCCAAAGAGGCGTTGTAGTCGAGCTACCAAAGCCACCAGCTCGTTGCCTTCAGATGCTAATGCACTGCCAGGCGCGGTCTCACCCAACTCCCTCGTAGAAGGACACCACTCAACTGAGTGACTGAAAACTCTGCACTGTTCTAAACTGAGTAGCTGTTGTGTTTACTATGCCAGGCGAAACGGTGCGAGAATTTTACATCTACATATGTTACCCTTCTTCACTCAATAACGCGTCCATTGTAGGCATTACGAACAACTTGGGTATCCTACAATCTATGTTTTTAGAACGGACATATTCAATCCGTCGGTATTCATGACATAGTGTTCAATTTCCACCCTCAAGAGTTTATTACTGATCGTGGGACCGCTGAGGTACTTGCATCTACACATGCCACTCTTTCCTACATAATGGCCCTATAACTTTACGACCGTAAACCGTATTACCTTAAGGACTTCCTTAAGGAGATACACGAAAACCTTAGAGGAATGGCTTAGTGGATATCTTAGGCCTAGGAGCTAGATCCTTTAGAACTAGGACCTAACTCCTGAACCTAAGAGTTAGGTCCTCAAGGGAAAGGGGCCGAAACCCCAAGGAGAAGGAAAGTTTGCATCGCAAGCTAAGGCCCTTAAAGGACCTAGCTCCAAAAAGGAGCTGTGATTTAGGTTGGTCCGGACCAGCCTAAACCAGCCTGGGATATACTCTCTTCACTATCGGGCGCGCGCTTTCTCCTCCGAGATCGTAACTCATCGACGGAAGTGTGCGGAGGTTCGATCTCGAGGCG